ACGGGATTCATCTGCTCTTGGTTATTTCTGTGCTGGGTCACCAAACCCCCCCCCCCCCCAATTCTGTGCCATCAACCTCAACCCATGCCTCAACTGTCAGGATGGAAGACGTGCGTTTTGTAAGTTTTGCAGCTGCAAAAGTTTTCAGAGGAAACTGACATGCTGCTCCAGAGGACTGTGATGCTACTTTTGTTCCCAGCCCACCCCGCTTCATCAGCCGGTCTCCTCATGCATAGATTTTAATTTTAACAAAATCGCTGTCTCTTGTGAAAAGCAGCATCAACATATGAAGTGGCGCACGCTCCTCTGGAGTTGAACACTTCCAGTGCTGTCACTGATTTCCCAGGAATTTTTTAAAAAAACAGCCTCTGGCTACTTTTCCAAATTACTACCCACTGATGACCAATTATTTTGCCCAACTGTGAACGGGTAGGTGTAACTAAAATCCAGTTTGTCACACCCAAGGCTTTCCCCTTGAAACACCTTTCAACCGCCGTGTTCTGAAATCCCCTTAGAAGGCTCTGATGTTCCCTGGGAAATTTCACCTTCCATTCAAGAAAATAAAATTAAAATTGAAAAAGTTTTAATGAGCCGTGAGGATGTGACAGACCATCAGTGGAAATCCCAATAGAGAACTATTTCGCCAAAAAAGCGAATCACACCTGTCAGGATTTAACATGTGTACACCCCCAAAAAGTGTCAGCCTTCTATTTGCAAATTATAATGATTGTTTCTTTTCATCTCTGATTCCATTTTTAGAGAGAAAGGGGGAGGGGAGGGGAGAGACAGAGAGGAACTGGCTTCTTCATATCTATAAAAGAAATATGGGAGAGTTTGTCATTCATTTCAAGCTTCTGCAATTTTGATTTTAAAATACTGTTAATAGTTCATTACATTTTTTTAAACAACTTCTTTGGCAGCGAAAGGGAGCTCATTAAAAAAAAAAAAATAGCAGGTAGGTTTCCAGAAAGATCAGCTCAACATCTTTGCTAGAACCAGGTGGAATAGGGACTTATCTTCTTCGGTTAAGTACTTCCTGGCTGTTGAAAATAATTTAGCAGAGGAGTTTATTAAAAATACAAAAAGAGGGAGGAATAGAGGGCTGGTGAAAGGGAATAGTTTTGAAAGCATGCATAAATACATTTTAGAGTGGCTAATTTTGCTAGAACCAGGTGGAATAGGGACTTATCTTCTTCGGTTAAGTACTTCCTGGCTGTTGAAAATAATTTAGCAGAGGAGTTTATTAAAAATACAAAAAGAGGGAGGAATAGAGGGCTGGTGAAAGGGAATAGTTTTGAAAGCATGCATAAATACATTTTAGAGTGGCTAATGAGAAGTGGTGCAGCATTTCTTCCAAACATCTCCCTAACAAGATAGACAGATGATGATAGATGATAGATGATACATGGTTGGATGGATGGATGGATGGATGGATGGATGGATGGATGATGGATGGATGGATGGATGGATGGATGGATGGATGGATGGATGGATGGATG